CCGGTGCAACTGTCTGGCCAGCGTGCGCTGCTGGGTCCATGCAGGAATTAAACTGCGTGGCCCCTCCCTCCCCACCTGGTCCCCTGGAAGCAGCATGTTGTGCTGAAAAGAAGCACCCGGGATCTTTTTCAGGGCGCTAAGGCAACACGCCACATTTATTGAACATCCATAGATCAATCCACACTTATCATATGCATAGGATACGTTACACACACACACACACACTCACACACGCACTCACACACGCACTCACACACACGCACTCACACACACACTCACACACGCACACACACTCTCACAGACACACACACACACACACACGCACTCTCACAGACACACACACACACACACACGCACTCTCACAGACACACACACACACACACACGCACGCACACACACACACACACACACACTCTCACAGACACACTCACACACACACACACACTCCGTCTTTTTGTTACTGGCCAGGTGAGTTAGATGGGGGAGGGGTGGAGCCGGGCTTCTGCCGATCCGGATCGATGCTCCCATGTTGACAAGACGAAAACCCAGGGTCCCTCTGCAAGATGCCTCCTATTTATCCCTCTCATGCAGCCAATTAGTCATCACCTCGCCTTTCCTAATGCTGCTTCAGAGAGAGTTCTTCCAAGGGCAGCACTTGCTGCTGGACTCCCAAGGCGTCTGTCTGTCCAGTCTTCTTAATGAGCCCAATTTACAGGTATTGTCTTGGGTCTGGGGCCCAGACCTTCTCCACCCTTGCGACTGCTGCTGTAGGGGCTCCCCTTTCATTCTCCATTCACACCTTGTTCATTTCAACAGGGCAACCCAGGGAAGGGGGGAGCTCAAAAGACAGTTTTTCTTACACGCTCTATATGTCTTAATACAACGTTCCAGGCGAAATGTGCCAGCGATTCTATGCGAACACTCAAAGACGGATCGAAAAGGACAAGATCTCAATACAAAGTCTAATCTCACAGGGATTTCCCCACAAGCCCCAGCCCTTTACACACTCCCGCCTTGGCGTCGGAGGCGTCGGCAGCCCGCTTGCGCCCGGGGGCGTTCAGGGAGGACTCGAGGGCTGCTCGCAGGGACGGGGAGGCGTCCAGCCGTGCCTTGGCCTCCTGCACGGAGCAGCTCCGCAGCAGGCACAGCAAGGCCGTGGGGACAACCTGGGGGCAGGAGGCGAGGTCTCAGGGGGTATGTCTACACTACCCCGCTAGTTCGAACCTCGTTCCACGAGGCGTGTAGCCGCGCTGCACGGGGTTCGAACTGCCGGCATTTAAAAATGGCGCCGGCCGGCTTCATGCAAATGAAGCCTGGGAAATTCAAATCCCAGGCTTCATTTGCAACTCCGGTTGCCTACATTACCACCCTAGTTCGAACTAGCGGGGTAGTGTAGACAGACCCAGGATTAGCAGGGGCAGCCTCCCCAGTTCAGCCAGCTGCACAGGGCCCAGAGGGCGTCACCAGCCTTGGATCCCCCACTTGCCTGCTCACTGCCTCTGGGGGTGGTCTCCCCAGCTGCTTGTGGGTATCTCGCCCTGCTCCCCCCGGGACACGCCCCCTCCCCTCCACGGTTTCTGGAAGGTGCTGCCCCACAC